TCCCTGCAGCTTCTCCATTTACAACTGGGGCAAGACTCAGAAAAAGCATTTGGTGCAGACCTAGATGCTCGTACATCTCTACATTGGTTCAGTCTGCAGTGTTTTAGTTTCTCATACTGAATCTATTGCTTCTGTTCCCAGAATTTCACATTATTAGTGGCACAAAGTAATACTAGCATAGGTATGTCAAGAAATGGATATACAGTAGCATCAGCCATATAGCTTCAGGGGGTACTTGCCAACTCCTTTTGCGCTCCCCCAAGGTAGAAAGCCATTCTACATATAATAAGCATTACCTCTCTCCTTCAGATCCTACAGCTATTTAAGAGCATTAAACACTCCCTTCCCACACAGAACCTTACTATAAAGCAGCATTTAGCAGGTTCACAACCGGAAGATGCAAAAGGATTTTCTCAGTACTTCCAGCCATCTCTCAATGGCCAGCTCTATCACTGTTTTTCCATCATCCTTATTACAATAGCTTTGTCATAAACCCTCACTCCTTTCATCAGTCTAGGGGAATAGCTCACCTCCCATCCTTAGTTCCCCAAAAGAATAGAGGGCTACATATCCAAGCACAGATCTCTCCCCAGCCAAGAGCTCCATTCTTAGACCAAAGGGAAATGACTTTCCCCCTTCTTTTGCAGGAAGGCCCAGGAGAACTTCCTCCTTTAGGCTCTAGCACAAAGAATGCCTGTTAAGCACCATGACACTGCTCCCATCCCTCACCATGTGCCTACCTTCCCGGATCAGCAGACTCTTCCTCATGGCCAACACCTCCAGTACAACTGTTACCCACCACTACCTTCACTTGGCCCAGCTGCAGCCTTTCACAGCAGATTTCAAACTGGCTGCTTGGCTACAGCTGGGGGAGGTGATGAGGTCCTTTATTAACACTTTCAGATCTGTTTCTGACGGGTTTTTGTAATCAGCCTGTTGCAGCGCTCCTGTGAAGGGTAAATAGCCAATTACATACTTGTTCATCCCTTTTCCACAGAATGAACTCAGTGCAAATAAAGTTCCTGGTATTCTACCACCCAGGTAGGATGACAGAATCTCCTCCTGAGGGAGTTCAGACTCTGTCTTATTTTTTCCATTAGCGAAATGTAAATTTGTCAAAGTGAAGTCTTTCACCAGAGCTATTCTGTGTAGAGGCTGGTCTGACAGAACTAAAAAGAGTGAGAATGAAACCTATTCAGTTTTCTGACAGGCTCCACCCCCTTTCTTCAGAGCTCTAAGTCCAGCCTGCCACTTTGTTCACCAGCTCACTCATCATCAGATGCCAAGACTGTAGTATCTTGGGAAGGAATGATCTCAAATGATCTTCCATTTCCTTGGATCCTTACAAGGCCACTAAGCAGAATTTCATTTCAGCTTTATCAAATTGAACTACTTTGATCACTTTGATTATTTTCCCTCGTGCCCTTTGTCATTCCCCCTGGGGAACAAAAGGCCATTGTGCCAAACTGCAAAAACCCAGAATGCCTTCACAACACAGACTTGCCATTCTGCACTCCCAAGCCAGCCGGGGGAAGAGGCTTCACAAGATAATCTGTGCCTAGATGTGATCAGCACACAGATGAGGAGTACAATGGATACAAAGCTGATGCAGAAAGAAAGAGAGAAGTATGTTGTGGCGTTTGCAGCCCCTATAAAATCTTTTTGTGCTTGAAAGTTCTCATCAGAAATTAGTCCGCTAAGTCCATTGTTTAGCATAGCTGTGGACTACTTGGTGTTGTCAAGGAAGATCACACAACAGCATCCAGGAGAAACACTGTACACCTCTAGATAGTGAAAGAATGAATGTTACTCAGCTTGTCACCTCTCAGCTTGACTGTAATGCCTAGGCACAAGCTTTCAACACACAATTCTTCAGTTGGTACTGAATGCTGAAACCCATATCTCTGGCTATGTCACAGCCACAGACATGCCACAGTTACTCTCCATGCCTTACCCTGGCTTCTCAGGCAGTCATGTCCAGTTTGCAGTCATGGTGCTTGTTTTCATATTTGTGTTCAAATAATCCTAGACACAAGACATTCGAAAGGCTACACAACACCTTCACTATTATAGCGCAACGCAGCAGTCTTTCATAAGGGAAAAATAATCTGGGTGGAGACAACCATTCTTAGTGGCCAGCCCAGGACATGGAATGAACACATTGAGAATTAAGATCTTCATAAACACAAACACACACACATAGACACACACAAACATACGGACAGATTTACCTATAATAATAATGCTATAACACAGTACAATCAGCAAAATGAATCCAGTGCATATATTACATTTCTTTGGCCTTGCCTTTTCTGTATTATAACATAAATGTTCAGGTGTCTGTATTAGAAATCCAAATATCCACTGCATACACTTGTCTCCAAAGCAGGAGGACAAAGAACAGTGCATACTAGAGTTACCTACCACACTGCTGAACATACCCTGGAAGGAGGTAATGCAGTCCTACATGCTAGTTATTCGCAGCAGGCCCCTGGACTGTTTCCATGTAGAATATGAGTACAAGGCCCTTGTCCTCTGGAGACGAGTTAGGGGAGGCCTTCCCACAGCCATCTACTATGGGAAGTTCATTTTCATTTGATTCACAGGCATGTAGTTAACGTCCATCATCATGTTCGTTATGACTATGGCAGTCATTCTGTCTACAGCCTCTTAAGCCTGCTGTGGTACCAACGTGAACCACACTATGCCATTCTTCTCACCATTTCCTTTCCTATTGGCAAGTTTTGCAGCTAAAGCAGTGAATTTTCTCCAGCAACAAAGCTTCAAAGCTTATCTGCAGTAACACAGACTCTCGTGGAAAGATTGGCTTCATATTCCCCCCTCCCCCTTTCAACAATCCATCAGGCTAAGAACACTTCTGGGCAGCTGCCACTGAAATTTATTCCAAACATGAGTTTAATTTGTGTTATACATGAAATAAACCCCCAACTGAAGCTAACCTGCTAGCATCCAGCTTATTTGCAGCTGAATAAGCAAAACAACCTTTTGCCTGCTACCTATTAGGTTGGTGACACTGATCTCCCCTGACTGCAATGGTTGCAGATCTTTACGCATAGAAAAGGGAGAATTCAAAGTATACAGCTTGTTCAGGGAGCTGCTGCGTGCCGTGCAAAGCGGAGATTCAGGGTTCCTTTCCCCTTTCACATCCGCATGCTTGTCTAGTCCTACACTAAGCCCCTTGTTCCTAGGTGTCCACAGTTATTCATGTTTTCTCAAGACACATTTTCTGGGGGACACAGAGATGGATAATTAAGTCAGAGGGACCCACTAAGACTTGTGAAGGTGACATGTGAGATACCAGCAGAAGGAGGGAGTGTTGTGACTTTTTTTTCACGTTCAGAAGTCTGCTCCTTTTTAGCATCAAGTCTTTGGTCCATTCGCTGTTGTCACAATTATTAAGGTCATTAGCTCCAAGGATGCAGATGGCATAAAGTGGTCTGAAATGCATTTCTAGAACTTCAGTTCTAGAAGTTCAGCTTGGCTATGAACTGCCCCATCCAAAATCACAAAATGTTCAAGAGACAGTTCTCTCCCAGCCCTTCAATGTGACCGGACTCTGTAAGGCCTCATTGCTGTAGAAATAGGAGCATATCAGCTCAGCACGTTTGGCTTATTTGGTAGCATTCTTACCTCCAGGACAAGAGGCTGTAGGTTCACAGTCAGGTAAGGTACTTGAGGTAGCAATATCAGAAAGACTCTCCTCCAAACATATCCTTCAACCTCGGAACCTTTTGTTCTCCAGACGGAAAGAACAGATATAAGAGGAGCATCAGAGGTAGCCCCTCAGAGATGCCAAATATTCTCCCACTGAAGCGAAGGTCCTAGTGCCTGCAGTAAGTATTAGATACTGGGAAGCACATCAGAGTCCCTTCATTGCCTGTCTCTTAATAAAGGGCTTCAAGGTGATCAGAATTAGAAAGGTACCATATCACTAAACATGATAGCAACTATTAGTTTGGGCTAGGGCACTGGAACTGGTTTATGGATATGCTGCTGCTCAGACGCAGTCTGCCTCTGTACTTAGAAAATGTCAATTTATGGACATGGAGCTTTTTTATCCCTCTCCTGATAGCTGGCTCATCCTCTCCCCGTT